CATTTTAACAATAGAAACTGCAAGAAAGCTGCAAGTGGACATTAAGAAGACCAATATCAACTTAAAAAGCTACAATGGCTCTAAAGTAATATGTAGTAGGTAAAGTAACTGTTCCATGTACTGTCAATAATCATACTTTTGAAAAAGTATTTGAGGTGGTTAATTATAGGGCTCCCTGTATTATAGGGCTGCCATTTATTGAGAAATTTAGACTTTTGAGAAAAGTAAACCACATTCAAAATTGTCAACAAGAAGATCTACTGAAAAAAATCAAGAATTTATTCGTAGGAATTGGAGAAATGAGAGAATCATACAAAATTAAAATCAAAGATAAATTCATTCCTGTTGCTGAGCCCCCTAGAAAAATACAAAGTAGTTTGAAAAGTGAGGTCAAGAAAGAATTAGATCAAATGGTGAAGTGCAAAATTATCAGAATATTTACTAAGCCCACTGAGTGGTGCAGTTCTCTAGTTACGGTGAAGAAACTAGATGGGAGCCTTCGCTTATGCTTGGACCCTCAGAAGCTAAATAAAGCTATTGTACGAGAACGATATCAACTTCCATCTTTTGAACAGCTTGTCTCTAAAATGCCAGGTGTGAAAGTTTTTTCTATTTTTGATGGAAATAAAGGCTTCAACCAAATAAAGTTGCACCCAAAAAGTGAACTTTTAACTACCTTCAGTGCTGGACATTTTGGTCGTTATTGCTACTTACGTGTTCCCTATGGTCTGTGTTCAGCTCCAGAGGTATTCCACAGAATGTTTACTGAAGTTTTCAAGGACTTACCTGGTGTGGAAGTATATATTGATGATGTGATAGTCTGGGGTGTTGATGTTGCTCAGCATAATGAAAGATTTGAAGCAGTTTTAGAATCTGCTAGTTCGGAAAATTTATGCTTCAACAAAAATAAGTGTAAGTTTGGACTCTCAGAAGTGAGGTATGTTGGCCATATACAGGGTGTCCGGAAAGTCAACGATAATACTGAAAGGGCTGATGGAACAACTCATTAGCATCCAGAAAAACATAATATGACCTTAGTAAAAAATCGATGGTTTTCGAGATAATGTCACTTTAATAAAATTCGTTAAAATGGTCCTCTTGGATCAGATTTTCGAGTGTCACATTAAAAATTTCATTATTTTCAGATTCTCTATTCAGTTTTGCAATGGTGAATAAACATTTCATTTGTCATAGAACAACATTAAAAGTCAAAGTTGAAAACATTTACTAAAAAATCTTTTTAAAGTGAAGTATCAGGAGTATTCACTTTAAAAGCATTTTTTAGTAAATGTTTTGAACTTTGACTTTTAATGTTGTTCTATGACAAATGAAATGTTTACTCACCATTGCAAAACTGAATAGAGAATCTGAAAATAATGAAAATTTTAATGTGACACTCGAAAATCTGATCCAACAGGACCATTTAAACGAATTTTATTAAAGTGACATTATCTCGAAAACCATCGATTTTTTACTAAGGTCATATTATGTTTTTCTGGATGCTGATGAGTTGTTCCATCAGCCCTTCCAGTATTATCGTTGACTTTCCGGACACCCTGTATTTAGTAAAGATGGACTGAAGCTTGACAGTGACAAAGTTCAAGCCATATTGGATATGGAAGTGCCTAAGGACAAAAAGCAATTACAAACTTTATTGGGTATGGTAACGTACGTTAGTGAGTTTTTGCCATATTTGTCAGATGTAACATTTTCTATGAGACAATTACTTAAAAACTACGTAGAATTTATTAGGTCAGATTCTCAACAAAATGATTTTGAGAGATAAAAAAAAAGCTGACACAAGCACTAGTACTCAAATATTATGATGCGACTTTCCGTAGATAGTAGCAGCCAGTGATTGGGAGCCGTGCTGTTGCAAGATAACTTGCCAGTTGCATTTGCCTCAAAATCCTTGACTGATACTCAGAAACAATAGGCGTAAATTGAAAAGGAGCTGTTGGCAATAGTTCATGGTTGTGAAAGATTCCACCAATATGTGTATGGTAAAAAAATACTTGTGGAATCAGATCACAAACCTTTAGAAATGATTTTAAAAAAAAATCTCTTTCAGATACGCCTTTACGGTTGCAGAGACTACGGTTGAGATTACAGCCTTATGATTTGGAGGTTAAATATAAACCGGGCAAAGATTTACTTCTGGCAGATGCCCTCACAACATCATTTTCAAAGGAGAATTCTCAGGACAATGCTAGTCTTGGAAATGTTGATGATGAAGTGAAAGTTCATGTATGTATTATGATAGATAGTCTTCCTGTTTCTATTTCTAAAATAGAGTTATTTAAATTAGAGACCAGCATTGAACCTGAGTTGATTACTATTATGTTATACATAAGACAAATGGCCAGATTATGACAAAATTCCAGACAATTTGAAGTTTTAGCATTCAGTTAAAAATTCACTGTTTGTAGTGAATGGTATATTATTTAAAGATTTTTGTATTGTCGTTCCAAAGCCCTGCGGAAGGAAATGTTAGGTTATGGCTAAAAAGATACTATTTTGGCAAAGAAATTACTGATATAATTAAAAATTGTAGTATCTGTTTGAAATTTCAAAAAAACCCATGGGTTTGAAAATTTATTATTGAGAGATTGCCCAGAAAAACCTTAGGAGATAGTGGGAGTGGATATTTTTTATTTTGATAAGTATTTGCTCATACTTTCAGCAAGTTTATTGAACTCAAAGAATTGAAATATGAAACGCCCGAGTATGTTATTTTAGCCCTAAAGTCCAATTTTGCACGCTATGGAAAACCTTGTTGTTTATATTCGGACAATGGTCCCCAATTTGCAAATTATAAATTTGAACAGTTTTCCAGAGATTGGAGGTTTGAAAACAAAACGTCTAGCCCTTACTATGCAAGGTCGAATGGGATGGTTGAAAGGTATGTACAAACAAAGTATGTTTAAAAAGGCTAAAGCTTCTGGTTTAGATCCTTACATAGCTTTAAAGGAGTACATAAATACCCCAATTGACCATGACATAGGAAAGTCTCCAACTGAGTTAGTATTTGGACGAAATATAAATGCATTTTTACCCTCAACTAATGATTTTTGTATAGATAATAACTTTTGTAATGTCAACAGTAACTTAGAGGATTGGCAAGCTTTCTAATATGGATATCATTATATTACCATGATAAAAGAAATAATGCTAAGCCTTCACAATTTGTTCCTGGAGAAGCTGTATATGTTAACGATAATATTCACAAAATGACACTAGATAAAATTGTCAGTGAGAGCGACAATCCGAGATCATACAAAATACAGATGCCAACTGGCAATATTTTAGAACGGAATCGCTTTAACATATACAAGGCATCACCTCAGGAAGACTTTCAAAAAGAATTAGGTAGTAGTGCTAGAGTAAATCAACCAATTTGAACCAATTGAATTTCAGTCTCTGGTGGATGCTGGGACTAAGGAAGTCACACCTCGAGAGAGTTCATCACTGTCACCACACTGTAAAGATAATGGTCAGAGAAATTCTCAAGCTTCATTCAAACTAGAAAATGATGCTACTACTCTCTCAAGGTCTGGTAGACTCATTCGTAAGCCTCAATATTTGTCAGAATATGTTGATTAGAATTTTTACAATTTTTGCAAGTTTTTACAAATCCAACACACTTATGTTCATTTAGATAATAAAGAAAAAAAAAAAAAAAAGAAATAAAAATAAAACAATAAAAAAAAAGAAAAGAAAAATGTCATAAGAATACGTGTATTGTTTATGTGGTTGCCTATAAGAAGGTTAGGTTTAGGAATAGAGTTGACAGAAGTCAGTGTCCTAGAGAGAAGGGGCTGAGATGTGAGGTTAGAATCAGTTGTTGTTGAATAAACGGAATGTAATTATGAACCTGTTATTATTTGAATGAGAATTCATCACAATGTGTGACTCTAACTTCAGCTCCCTGTCAACAGATCCAAGAGACTTGGTATCAGGGTGACTTTCAACAATAGTATCCCCAATACCCAAGTCCTCCAAGTCACATTTAAAGCTAACAATATTTGTTTCGTCAAAGTTCAGAGCCAAAAGATTGGAATCGCATCACACTTTCATTTTCTCAAGGTCACCGGGTATAGAGCTCCTTAAAGTGGCTGAATCACGACTGTGCCATAGTTGTATAGTCCGCCAAAAGGGTAAACCTGCTATCAATTTCCAGGCTTGCTAGATCATTGATGAATAATAGTAATAGAAGAGGTCCCAAAACGGAACCTGCTTGGGGCAGTCAATACTCTATAATTCATTTAAGATTAAGATACCATAAAAACTCTTTGTTGGCGATCAGTCAAATGAGATTTTAACCACGAGCTCTAACCCCATAGCGATAGAGCTTACGCAGCAGGATTCCGTGAACACTGACACAGGACGCATGACGCAGTGAAGAAGAATTTGGTCCTCAGTCAGACAAAGCATGAAATAACTGGAAATCTCCTAGAGCTCGTCTCACGATCAGGGTTATTTTGTCATCCGGGATAGTCTCGGCAGTTGACGTTGCCGTAGATCAACAATTTCAGCGATTATATCTACTTGGAGGAATACCCATAGGTACGCGTCTAAAAAAAGTACAAAAATATCTTTCTTTCCTGAGAACTGAGCAGGTACCTATTGGCCTTCGTTAGCTCTAAAGAGGGATTTTAAAGTCGTGATAAAAATAGGTGGGTACCTACAAGTAGAAAATGTTATTGTTAATTTAAATCCAAGATAAAATCTTAACGGGATAAAAATTTTGCATCAGAAATAACAAGGATGCATTGTTCATAATTCAAATTTCAAATTAATAACTTAATGGCAGATATATGGTGTGCACATAATTTCTTGAATCGGGAAATTTATTCATTAGCAGAGCGAGAACCATACTGGATGATATTTGGTGTCACCTTTATTGTGTTGTTTATTAGCCTTGATCTTTCGCCGGGTATAATATTAACAATTAGGTAAAACTTGTTGCTATTAATAGTCCCTGAATTTCCAACATAACACAATTATCTTAAATATATAGTCGTAGCTAGTCGTATAAATTTATAGAAAAGGATGACAAACACGGTATTTGATAGCGAACCGTTAACATGTTCGGTGATCTTTTGCAAAATGACAGCGATATATTTATTAAACAGTTGGACAAAGATTTTCATAAATCAGAAAAAGATTTGGTGGAGTTTATTGAGATTATGAGGAAATGGAGTGAGACGCAAAAGCATTTTCCTGAAAAACCAAGTAAGAATTGTCAATTCAAATGTTATTCTTCGTAATGTTCGTAGCAGTGCTCCACGTCCAGACTCCAGAGTGAACCTTGGTCGTGAAAATGATATCACACCATTGAAATGTTACCTAACCAATGTCCTGACATCAAACGCTTTTGAGTCTAATTTCGAGCTCTAAAACCTTCCAAACTAATAATGATCTACACAAATTTTATTTAAGGTGACGATTTACTCCGTTTCGTAATACTGTACAACAAATTCAGCATAGAAAAAGCCAAACAAAAGTTGGACAACTTCTATACAATAAGAAGCCTAATGCCAGAGTTTTTCAAAACTCACCCTTTGAATGAGGATTGGATTCTTCAAAGCAAAATCTTGTAATTTATTGCAAACATAATTTCAGTTGCTAATATAATCATTTCCAGCTATATAGTTCCTCTGCCTAAAGCCGCAGATGAGAACATAAGGATAATCTTCCAAAAAATAAATCCAGATTATAAAGATGCAAAGTATTATAGTTTAGAAAATAATATAGTTGTGTTTTTGCACGTAATGCAATACATGGCTGAAAATGACCTGTGCTATCGTTTCCATTACATTGCCGATTTTTCTGCATTCACTCTTGGGCATACTGCTAAAATGAGTCCTTTATGTATAAAGAAATCACAGATAATATTAGAAGTAAGGATCAATTTTCCAATTCTAATTTTTTTTAACTAATAATTTAATATTTTCTCTTTTTTCCTCTCTAGAAAGTCTTTTCGAATCGAATAGCTTCACTACACATGGTAAATTTACCCTCCATCATAGAATCATTCATAAATAATGTGCTCAAACCTTTGCTTCATCCCAAAATTCAGAAACGAGTAAGTACCTACCACCCCACAGTTTGTTTTATTGAATTTTGAGAGAAAACAGAAAACAACTAAGTACGTTTATTTTTTAGCTCCGAATATCTTCAATAGATAATTTGTTTAAAATATTTGGTAAGGAACGCCTTCCCAAAGATGTAGGGGGCGAAGAAAAATCTTTAAGTGAACTAACCGGCAAGAATTGGCTATATAATTTCCGAATAATATTTACATTTGTATTTTTCAGATATGTTAACACAACAATACAAAAATCACGAAGTAAGGTTTTCTGAGCTGCAAAATCTTACTGTGGATGAATCTCTGAGGCCAGCCAAACTTCAAAACGATGACTTACTCGGATATTATGGCAGTTTTAGGAAACTGGATATTGATTAAAACTTCTGATATTAAATGTAGATTATTGATTATTGCTTTATTTACAATAAATATTATAGATTTTTGGCCAGGCAACAAGTAATGTTTTTGACGAACTGTCTAATTGCGGTGCATATGTTGGTGATCTACAATATGAAGTTTTGCTTGAAAATTAAAATGTCAATTTTTTTTAAAGGTGCCTTTAAAAGACTATAAGGCACATAATGGTATTGAGTTTATAAACCGACTATCTCAACCTTGAAAAAACAAGCATGCATGGCATATCTATTGGCAACAGGCACAGGGTGAAAAAATCTTGTCCTCGCTACTTTCTCTCTTTATGAATTTGGAACACCCTGCATTACAAATAATACCTAACAATTTCAGGTCCGATAGTTAACTGATGGAGATAAAAATTATCTGATGTTAATGCAGCTCAATGGTTAAAAATATTTGCATTCTAGATTCTACCATAGATTTATATTATACAGGGTGTTACAAATTAGTGATTATCTTAGTATCGGCATCTGAGTAACTAAAGAAATACATTATGGCTTGGTTGAATGGGGATGAAGTTGAGCATTTCATTGCTCTCGTTTTCATTTTATAATGATCCTATTTGACAAGATATTTCTGAATAAGAGTCACTTCATCATTACCACTTTTTATCCTCTGGAAGATATCATTAATAAATTTGAAATCCTACGTTTCTTCTGTGGGCTACCACCATCAATTTCTCTCCAAACATGAATGTGAAGACATTATTTGAGTGTCCCAATATATTGAAGGAATCGCATGCTGACCTTAGAAAACTGTATGATCTTTTCAATAAAAATTCAAGGTCACTGCAAAGTCTTGTTCAAGTCATTGACAGTTGAGATACCCTAATTGTATATTTATTAACAAGTAAGTTTGATGTTGTCACTCGTAGGGAATGGGAGTCGTACCCTATAAGCGGAGAATTACCTAAGTTAAGCGACGTGAATGCATTTTTTAAATCTAAATGTGAAAAAGGATTCATGTTCAAAACCTGCTGACTGTAAAGGTAAGCAAATAAAGAGCTATCACGCGTTACCTACTGTAGGAAAATTCTCTTGCTACTACTGCAAAAAGAACCATGCGATTTTTAGGTGCTTCGCGTTCAAGAACCTATCTGTAAATGTTAGGATAGCGGCTGTAAAAAAGTTGAAATCTTGTACAAATTGTTTCAATTCTGATCATTTAAACAACTGTTCATATACTTCATCTTGTCGCATTTGTGGAAAAAAAACATGAATGAGATGATGAAGGAATGGTTTACGTTGTAAGAACGCTGCTTGATCCTAGGTCGCAGAGTAACTTTATTTCGGAAGGTTTGATAAAAAAGCTTGGTTTACAAAAATATTCTGTTAAATTTCAAATAATGGGCGTTAGTGAAAATGTCTCGACCACTGCGAATTCAAAGGTGAATGTTCAAGATTATGTCAAATATTAACGATTACAGCGAAGTCATTTTTTGTTTAGTCATACCAAAAATTACTCAAGGCCTTTTTCGATATTTCCGATTGGAATTTTCCCCAGAATCTACGACTTGCTGAGGAGTGTTTTTAAAATCCAAAAAGATATAGATATTTTATTGGGCGTTGATGTATTTTATAGGACGTTACTTATGAACAAATTCGTACTCGGGGAAGGCCTACGCTTCAGAAAACAAGATTTGGTTGGATTCTTGATGGTGGATATTTTGTATAGTATAACATACCCGGGTTTGTTCAGCAAGATTAAACGGTTTGAATTTTTATTACCTTTTCTTTTAACAAATCTTCTGAAAAACGAAATGAAAAACAAATAGGACCTACGTTGTGGAAACTAACGCAATTTTACTTACTTGACATGCGCCCGAGAATAGCAAATATTAGGGAAATTTGAGTGAAGTTGTGATATGTAAAATAAACGAAAAATTTGTGGAATTACTACTTTATTCTTAAAGTAAATCGTACCGTTCTCGACCTGGAACTAACGAGGGGAAAGAGCACGGCAGAGAAACCCTCGATCTAACATTCCTCAAAAATCAAAACATACTGTGACATTTCAATAAATAATTGGGAGTCAAAATAATCAATGAAAGTTTAAATAAGGTACCGTCTCTGTCCTTTTGCTAAAATTTTAATTCCACACGCTACAATCAATTAACACTGCCTATATTAAATACAGAGTTTTTGATAAGTTAGCCAGTTTCACTAGTAGGTACTGAGGTCCCGTACGGGAGGCTATAGTTGTTATTTTGAGCCAATATCTCTAGATTGATTTTTGAATTTCTTTGCCAGGATATTCGCTCGTCAGGGTAGGAAAATGTTAGTAGATTCAACAAGTCCCTACCCAAGCAGCGCTTTTACGTCCTAGCAACGTCGTCATTGATGTCTTGACGTTAAGGCGCGACGTCAAAAAGACGACTATACAACCCTTATTTTCACCAAAATGGAGAATCATTTCTTGGTTGTGACGACGTCGCAGGTCGCGAGGCTTTACTAATGTTTAACTTATACGTCAGCATACATAACCAGATTTAAACGTTTACTAAACGTCGTAAACCATGCCTAACTTAAAAACAAATACCAAACTAAATAAACGACGTTCCAGGTTTATTATATTGCACCAAATTCGCACTTTTGGTTTATTATTGTTGTTATTTTATTTCTCAACTCATCACATTAAAAACAAAATGAATAGGTACCTACCTATAAGAATATTGGGGAACGCTGCTCCCCTGTTTCAAGAATAAGGACCCTGGTCAAGTCTCTCATTCTCTATCTACCCTTCGCTTCGGTACTTTCGCTTTCTGTGTGGCGCATCTACGATCGCCGCTACTCGACAGCGCATACATGATTGCAAAATTTACCATTTGCTTTTATATAGTTAACGTTCTAAAAAAGTTAAGATTTGAAGAAATAATATTTTAAATAGGTGGTTTTCCTCATTTGATACTTCTTCTAATGTCTCAAAAACTCAGGTGACAGCTTGTCTTTCATTAGATCAGACGATTGATGGAAACTTTTTCGGGAACTAAAGGAATGTACTAATGAACGACCTATTTTGTCAAATTCTGAACAGTTATGCGAAGAGCATTTTATACAAAATTACTCTCGCGATACTGATGGGCGATTTGTGGTAAAATTTCCTTTTAAAGATAACATTGTGAGTTTAGGTCAGTTAAAGAATATAGCAAATAAACGATTGATAGTTCTTGAAAGACGTCTAATTAAAAATGAGAGCTTAAAAAAGGATTATCTTGAATTTCTTGAGGAATACAAGGACATGGGTCATATGACAAAGGTTGAAGGTTTTTCTGTTGATTTCATTGATACGGAACCGTGTTATTATTTGTCACATCATCCTGTGATTGAGGAATCTAGCTCGCCCATAAAGTTGCGTGTAGTTTTTGATGCGTCAGCCGAGAGTGACACTGGTTTATCCTTGAATGACGTACATCAGCATGTTGGACCTACTATTCAAAGGGATCTTATATCTATAGTTTTACCTTTCCGAATTTACCCATACGTTTTTAATGCAGACATATCAAAGATGTACAGGCAAATTCTTATAGACCCAAGTGTACGCTGCTCTCAAAGAATTTTATGGAAACCTCCAAATGATCCTCAGGCAGAGATTGAATGTTGTGAATTTAGTACAGTAACATATGGATGTGCGTCATCTCCATTTTTGGCACTATGATCATTAAATCAGCTAGCTCTGGATTTTCAGGTTGAATATCCTGAAGCTAGTAGAGTCATATTAAATTGTTTCTATTTAGATGACATATTGACAGGTGCATTTTCCAGTTCTAAGTTGTTACAAGTTTAGAGTGAAATATCTTTCATATTGGCTAGTGGGGGCTTCCAGCTTAGAAAGTGGTTGTCTAATAAACCAGATTTATTGAATCAATTTCAAGTTCCCGATAATTTGTCATCAAGTATATTACGTTTGGGAGAGGATGACCATAATAAAACTGTAGGCGTTTTTTGGAATGATTCTAGTGATAGTGATTAAAATAAATATGTTTTTAATACAAGCTTTTTTGTTTATTTGTTTAATAATGATTTCGGGAAGCAGCAAGTAAATATAATGGCAAATTAATTGCAGTGCATAGGTTGCTGCTTTATTATATGAATAAAGATAACATTTCAATTTTTATTGCCTATATAATTATGTTTTTGACTTTACTTTCCTAGCAGTCATAGCAGGTACGGGAAATATTATTTAATTTTAATTGCAACAATTTTTAAATTTCTCCCTAACTAATGTATTTGTTAGTACAAGAGCTTTAGTCTACCGTACTTATGGAAACCCAGTACAAGTATAATTATTTTCCGAAAAAGCACGAATCTGTTTAAGCCACTTCAACGCTGTTCCAGATGCCAAAAATAAATAAAAAAATATTTTTTGTTAAACTTATGACAGATGACATATTATAGGTAATAGCTATTCACCTAACAAGTGCGGAAAATGAATTTTTCCGCACGCGGCTGCCGTTCACCGAACGACGCGTAGCGGAGTTCGGTGAAGCAACCGAGTGCGGAAAAATATTTTCCGCAAGTGTTAGGTACAATATTTTTCCTACAGGCGTAAAAATGTTTTTTTTTTTGACAGATCAGTGCGGTAAAACTTTTTCCGCACTAATATGCGTGCGGTAAAAGTTTTACCGCACCGTGCGGGAAAACTCATTTTCCACACGCATATCAGTGCGGAAAATCGACTTTTCCGCACGGCTGTAGGAAAAGTTTGTTTCGCCAGCAGCATTTACCTTCCTTGTTTAACAAATAAAAATTGACTGAAATAAATCACTGACGTCAAAAACGTTGTCGGTTCTTAACCAAAAGTCATTCATTTTAATTTGTCAAAAAAATTGCATGTGTCATATGAATCGATCTACGACAACCCTTTTTTTTCAAGTTTCAAGGTCAAGTATGAACCCTGGTGAAAAGACCTTATGTAATATGATGAAACATCTAGTTTTATTTTAATATAAATACCCTGACTATTAATAATAAATTCCATATATTAGACCATAATTAAATTGGAATATTCATTAAAAAATATCAACAAAACATTGACTCGTACGTTGTGTCAATGGACTTTTATATAAATGTAATAAATTTTCTTCATACGCTTATTTCTAAATAACATTCGATTTGGAAGATATTAGTTAAAATGTTGCAGAAAAACGAAGAACAAATTAGTGCTCAAATATACGAAGACTTTGGTAAAACCAAGCAAGATCTAGAAGAGTATATTGAAATTTTAAAAACATGGACAAAGACTCAGACGCATTTTCCAGAAGAACCGAGTAAGATTTTTTGTTTTGTTTTACTTACTTAGTTTGAATTATGAATTTCATTATTTAAGTTCAATTATCTTCTAATTTAATTTCTTTATTATTATTTTGTTTGGTAAGTTTTGCACGTTTTCGTAATTTGAATTTTCATACTTTTGATTATCCTTCTTCTTCTGTCCGATGAGAAGCGCGCATCCAGCTTTAGGCTTTTTAGAATATATGGCCCTAGCACCTGTAAAATTTGAAATTGGGATGAGGTCAAGGGTCGAGTGATATATCACCTTAAAGACCGCCATGTTTGTTATACTTAAAAAGATTAAAAAACCGGCCAAATCACAAGTCCTTTCATTTTCCTGCGCAGAGCAATAGACTAGATCAAGGAAAAATCGCTATATGAACCAATCTGCTACTTGCAAAAAATTGCGTGTCACCTCTGTATCTGAGGTTGTGTATAGGTACTTTCTCTAGTGATCAAATTGCCATCTTTAGTAGGTATCCTTAATAATATTCTTAAGGTGCCTTATCAATTGATGAATGTTGGCGACAATTCTGGCATATGCGTTTCGATCTTGCGCGGCTCTGAAAAATGCATGGGCGTCGAGGTTTGTCAACTCTCCTATGTTCTTTCGCCTTAGCCACGAATATTTCTGCTTCTCGATGTCTCTCTTTCCCTCGATCTTTCCTTCCATCATCAGCTTTAGGAATTGATACTTAGAATTTCTGAAGATATGACCCAGGTATACAGTTTTCCTTCTTCTCACTATCTGTAACAACTCTCCCTCTGCTCCCATTTTTTCAGGACTTCTTCGTTCAACACACGATCAGAAATCCAGTTGGTTCATGACACTGGCCTTTATTGTCTATGCCTCCACCACTCCGTACCGTAGCATGGAGTAAATGCAGCACATAAAACGGTACCGCACACTGTCAAGACTATTGCCGCTGAAAAGAACTCACGTATTTCTAAGTCTGGAAATAGATATTCAGTTATCCAGCTTCCCAGGTATCTAAACTTTGTGATTTGCTGGATTTTCCCGAAATTCACTGTGATACTCAAGTGCACATTTGGTGTTTTGCTAATCATCATTTCTCGCGTTTTTTTTTTAATGGTAATCCTTAGGCCGAGTCCTTCGCCTTCGATAGCTATTCTATCAACAAGGCGTTGTAATGCTTCCTGGCCGTCTGCTATTATGATGTGTCCTTCAGCGTAACGAATGTTGTTGACAATCTGTCTCCTGTCCATTAACCCTGATGCCTCTGCGTCCTTCAAGGCACATTCAAAAATTGTGTCAGAGTATGGATTGAAGAGTAGGAGAATTTCGGTATATTGTCACTTCCCACAGGTTCTTTATAAATCGTAGATCATTCTTATCTATCATCCTATCTTGAAGCATCTTTACTTACCTTAGTGTGTTTGATAATGACAAACGCCTTGGGATAATCCATGAAACACACGAAAACGTTCAAACGCTGGGCTCTGCATTTCTGAAGTAATACGGTGAAAATAAAAAGTGCTTCACGTGCCTTGTTTGAACCCGAACTCAGTAGAGGAAATATCTCTTTCGCATCTGTTGCGAATTCTGGAACATTATACATCAAGCTGATCATTCGGAGCTGATCACAGGGGTTTGCGTTTGGTGTTTTTGGGATCGGTACAAAAATTGATTGGAGCCAGTCCTGTGGTATCTCGCTCGTCTCATATATGTTGTTGAATATTCCCACCAGGGATTCTACGTTCTCGTCATTCAGCAGAGTAGAGTTTTTTCACAGCTATCAGACCACATACCCACCTCTACCACGTGAAACCCCCCTCCAGTACAGCCATCATACCACTACCCACCTTCACTGTAAACCCCCTTCCGTGAAGCTCCTGAGCACTTTTTTGACTCAAGTGCCCCCCAGCTATCAATACTCACCTCTTCTACGTATAAATGGTTCACCAGATTCACAAATTTTGGGGTTGGCCCGGGTCGAATTTCCAAAATTTCAGATCAAAGGCGCCGATTTTCCCACGGTATCAGATAGCAATAACCCAGAAGCAGATGTTGTATCCAACCCATAATCCGTTGTCCCCCGCCAAAAATGAGCAGATGAGCAAAAAAAATTTAGGCAACAGGAAAGAAAAAAGATTTTCAAAATTCCAATTTGTATAATTTTTTTAATAAAATGATAACTTGATTTATTGTTTTATTGTGTTTCAATGAAAAATCAAACCATATTTTTCGAAGATGTATCAATAAATTAGCAAGGTTTTTCACTACTTGCTTCCACTCAAAAATATTGAGAACCGCAAGATTGAAATTTTGGGGATTTGACCCGGGCCAACCGTGGGAACTTTTTCGATACTGTGGGAAAATTGGCGCCTTTGATCTGAAATTTTGGGAATTTAACCCGGGCCAGCCGTGGGAACTTTTTCGATACCGTGGGAACTTTTTTGATACCGTGGAAAAATCGGCGCGTTTGATCTGAAATTTTGGGAATTTGACCCGGGCCAACCCCAAAATTTGAGAATCTGGTGAACCATTTATGTAGAAGAGGTGGGTATTGATAGCTGGGGGGCACTTGAGTCAAAAAAGTGCTCAGGAGCTTCACGGAAGGGGGCTTACAGTGGAGGTGGGTAGTGGTATGATGGCTGTGCTGGAGGGGGGTTTTACGTGGAAGAGGTGGGTATGTGGTCTGATAGCTGTGAAAACACTCTACTCAGCAGCTTTATTATCTCTGTATATACATCGTCTGGTTTTTTCTTGTTTGCTTTGTTTCATTGCCTCTGGTTTCAGTATTTTTGGAGAAGGTTCATATCCTTCTGAAATTTCTTTTGGTATTCTCCATATAAAGTTGTTGCGTGTAGTTCTTCCAATTGCAGAGGAGTTCTTTGGAACCAGAGATGATACTATAGTCCTTCACTATGTTACTCAAATTGCAAATATTTATTCAGCCTGTAACTTCTTCCACTAATCTATGTAAAAGTGCTCATGCTTCTCATCCAATTCTTCCAGTTCTTTTGTGCATATTTCTTGTAACCAGTTTTCCTTGGTTTTAGGAAACTCATTTCGAATCTTTTTTTTTGATTCTTTCATACTCAGCCTCGTCTTTGTTTTGAGAAGTTCTTGGTTTATTCATCCCCCCAACCTGAATTCTCTGACATCTCATACAAACCTCCCCACTTGCACCAAACCCATTACCTAGAGACTCCTCAGGTCCTGGGATTTTCAGGTTGCAGAGTTGTCGACTCCATTCAATCCAAACGGAAGTGGCCTGGTAACCGTGCATTCCTAAAGGTTTTTTTGAGCACAGTTTCATCACTCGGTTGTCACCTATCTTCTTCTAAAGCCTTTGGTTATAGATGTCCCACTTGGTGGCGCTATTAAGCTAATTATCCTTCCTGTTGAAGGCTTGCTCCGAGCTCCGAGTATCAAGGGCACCGAATTCTTCTTCTATAGTCTTTTATTGATAGTCTTCTGCGACATTTCTCAAAATTGCTGCCTCCAGTATAGCATAGGACTTCTAAGACCTCCTGGTAGACCTTCCAAAAAACGTTGGTGCTGCGGTTTCCTCTAGCCATATATGCTTAAAATATGTGCTTTAGGAAAATTAACCTATTATACTATTCTAGCGTTTTGCTGAGTGCGCAATTTCCGTTGGACTACTTATATATACTTTAATTATTCTGCTTAGGTTATCGTGTTCTACGCTTTGTGATAATCTACAACAAATTCAGCATTGAAAAGGCCAAACAACGACTGGACATGTACTATACGATTAGGGGACTTATGCCTGAATTTTTCAAGAATGGTCCCTTTACACCTGGGATGGAAATGCATATGAAACAATGGTAAGTTTAATGTTCTAAATGGTTCTCTGAAAAATTATGGATTTGGTATTTTTTCACTCTCTATACGCTTGAGTACTAGACTCATCCAAGCAATTTTCCTTATTCCTTGAAGCATGGAGTCGACTTTATCTTCACACGAAACAAGCAATAACCAATCCTATTTTTTACATACTAATGGTAGCTAAATTTAAATATTGTAGGTTCTTCTTCTTTTCTAGGCAAATTCTCCCTCTACCAAAACCTACTGAAGACCACAAAAGAATCCTCTACCATAAACTCAATCCTGAATATGGCGATCCAAAATATTTCGACCATGGCAAACAATTATCTTGCATCCTTAATATGCTTGAATATCTTATTCTAGAAGACATATCATATAGAATTATTTATATTTTGGATTTAGAAGGTGTTACTATGGGGCATGTGGCAAAAACTAGTCCTATGATTATCAAAAAGGCTGCGGTTATATTTGAGGTAAATATTTGTTTCCCGTATAAGTTAGGCTCGGTTATGGATTATGCACTATCTGGAAAGCAAAGTTTTTAACATATTTTCCACCTAATTCTTCCCAAAACTATATTTTCCTATAGTTTTCCTTCCATTTTTCAGAAAGTCTACGCAAACAATGTTTCAAAGATTTACTTAATCAACACTCCATCCTATTATGACACAGTTTTCAACAATATTATCTTACCAGTGACAACTCCAAAAATACAAGGCCGAGTAAGTTAGATTTTGGTTTTTTTTTATGCTTTTTTTTCTCATATTTTTTAAAGATAAAACTGTGCAGCATAGATACGCTCCTAGAGGAAGTAGGAAAACAAAATTTACCTGAAGACATTGGAGGTGACCAAAAACCTTTAGAAGAATTAATGAGTAAGTAAAATTTTAATGTAAACAAGATAAAACAATTAAAATCCCTATTTATTTCAGAGGACTTATTGCAAGGCTATGAGAAAAACAGAGACAGATATGAAAAATTGGTAAACCTAAGAGTAGATGAATCACTGAGACCGACTAAACTTGAAAATGACGATGTATTGGGCTATTATGGGAATTTCAAAAAAATAAATGTAGATTAAAAAGGAAGAGTCAATATAATAGAAAAATTAAAAAATACCACAATTATTAGAGCTAAAGAAAAATAACTACCTTATATAGAACAAAATTGTTAGGCTTTGTATTTTCTGTATTATAGTTTTGAATAGGTTTTGCACATAGAAAGGCTAAAAAATCGTTTGTGATGTTCTATTTTCAATCAAAAGATAAATTTTTGAATTCTGTATTAACTGTAGTTTCAATATCTTCTTGTTCGCGGTCAATGAAATCCTTTTCCGATGGTGCAAATGTTTCTAGATGATCAAACATTTCTTGGTAGTCCTCGAATTTTTGTTTCCAAAGTACTAAAAAAGCCAAAGATAGTGAATTTATTAGAAAATTCTTATGAAAACTTACCATGTAGCTCATCTAAAGTCTTTTCAGATCCACCAAAGTCTTGTGGTAGAAATTCCTTGGGTATATGTTGATGTAAGCTCTCCAAATCTTTGTGTACATGAATCTATATTTAAAAAAAATTATAGAAGCAAACTTCAGTTTTGTTGTTTAAATTTGTTTTACCCTTTTCCGCATTTTCTCCCCAAAAATATTTTTGGCTAAATTCACTATTACTTGCATTGAACTCGGGAGGTTTATGTAATGGATAGCTTCAAGTCTACTGGTGAACACTTTCTGAAACAAAAGCTTTTTATTTAAACATTCCTATTATAGTTCTGTTTTTAACTGTTCAAATAGTTCAATAGGAAGTTTTGATGAAAGTTGTTACTAGTAGGTATAGATCAAAAGTTATTTTTAATTGTTTCAAAATTGGTTTCAGTTGGATAGTTTTGACACTAAACAGCAGAGACGTGATTCGTTACAGCTAGCTCTGCTAAATAGTGATAGATTCTTACTTCGAGAATTGCCGAAGCCTTTCTTAAAATTCCAATTCTTAATTTAAAAAGATGTCCGAATTGTAGACCTTCCAAATCATAGACGAGAGTGTCTGTTAGCATCATGTCTTCCCTCACTCGAATCTCCAGGATATTGTAAGTGTGGGCGAAATAGTTTAAGGGGTGGTATTTTTCTGGGTTTGTGTCTTTGAATTTCATCACGGTGATTCTGCTAAGGGTTGGGGTAAGTTTTGGTAGTGGTATCGCATAACTGAAAATTTATCAGAATTATATTAAAAATAGAAGATACTTTATGTGGTAGTTTTGTTTCAAGAAAAACTATCCAAAAATATATTGTTTTACTTACACAACATTTGCGATTTCCTTCATATGTTCTAACTTTGGATTTTTATTAACATATAATTCTGGTATTTCTTTTCTTATCGTATAATATTTGTCTACTTTCTTTTTGCATTTTTCTAAATTGAATTTGTTGACAACTAGGAATATCTCTAGGACCTCATCACCTGGAAAAAAATATTAGTATATTATGAGAGAATTTTCGAATCATTTTGATAAATCAATCAATGTTGCTGGAATCAAGTTTCAGAAATGGACCCCGCACACTTCTTGTGGGATTTTTGACCGCGGTCAAATTTTACCAAATTTTAGTATGCTATAGATCTGACCTTTTTGATCAATAACTACCATGGGCAAAACTCAATCCTATGACTAGTTTTTGAGATACAGGGTGTCCAATGTGTAAATGTTCAATATGCATTATTACACCATGGAACGCATTTTCGATGAATATTACTATTTTTACAATAATTATTAATAATTCATATTATTTATTTATACTATACACTACAGGCTTTACCCAAAAACCGGGCTAAAATGCAAGAACTAAACTGCTGGCCAAAAAAAAAACGGGTCAGTAAATTTTCAACACCTATTCAATTTGTAATTACTTTTCTAAAATTATTTTTTTTTAAAGAGGTTTTTGGTATTCGAAGGCCCATGTTGGATTTCACGTGAGAAAAAAATATTTTTTTTTGAAGAAATGCAGTTTTCAAGTTATATACAGGGTGAATAATAGACTGATGCAAAGTACAAAAAGTTTGGATGTCTGATGCCATATTGGCGACTTTTTTTTTCGGATTTCCGTATACTTGATTGGATGTCCGGACGTATTGGTCAGTTTTTCGATAAGTGCCCTTTGGCAGCAGATACACTACTAAATAACAAAGTTGGCAAAATCTTGTAAGCACAATGTTTAAAAGGCTGTAGCTTGAAAACGGTTGCATCGATTTCGAACAGCTTCGCAGGTTTCGAAAGCTTTTTTTTTTTTAGAGGTTCCACGACTCGCTCGCTTTTTTTGCAGATGGCCCTGTTCACATTATACCAGGAGTCGAGAAAACCATAAACCCCAAATTAAGCAAATTATGATAGGTAATTGTTCTTTTTAAAAATCTATTCAAATTGGTTTATATGCCTTATGTTTGGTTTCAAAATTGGTTAGGCGATACTTTGGGCCAATATATCTCGAGACGATTCGGACGGATCGTTTTTGCAAAGCCTCCTGAAAATCCATTTTAGCACCACTATTTTGAAACGATCTGGATTACGGTTTAATGGATTGTGGAACGTTTTCCTCCACTGTAAAAGTGTTGTAGAACCTCTAAAAAAATAATCTTTCGAAACCTGCAATGCTGTTCGAATCCGAGAAAAGAAATGGCAGACATCCAACTTTGTTCTTTTGCATTTTTTTTTTTTGGCCAGCAGTTTATTATGACTGAGATAGGGACTACTATATAGCCTACTTTCTTGTGCCAGTTGTTCCGAGTCTTGCTCCATATGTAGTGTTGGACGAAAAGGGTAAATTGGGGCACAGGCAATGTGGAAAAAGTTTCCTAAATTAGTTATTTATGTGGGCAAGCCCTAAATTCTGATAGACCGGGAGTTAGATGGATATGAGAATGCAAAATGTGAGGACCGGCAAAAATGCTCAAATTCGTATTCCTGTGATCATAAAGAATGGGAAAGTACATCTTACCAGCATCTGGAGTGGTCCCTATAACTTTCCTGCTATCCCTCAATGCAAAGTTATATGGAAAATATCATAATTTCAAGTCATTTCACAATAATTCCTATTGATTGTACCTAAGGATTTCTTTTCAAGCACACAAAATAAATTACCTACCACTTGTTGGATATCTTTGCAATTCTGTTCCAAAATATACACAAGTAAAAGTAGACTGCGAGATGTACAGGGTCATCCAACGACGACTGAACAGGGGCTTATTTTTGACCTTCCCTGTTCCGTGTAGTTTTGAAAAAATTCAAAATAGCCAATTGGCATATTTTTTTCTGGAGAATTCAAAAATGGTACAAAAAAATCATTTGAACCAAAAACCAAAGAGTTACACCATGGGTGAACTGGTTTTCAAATGAAACACCCTGTTTTTGTATGATTTTTGGAAAAGTCGCATTTTTTACATCTATTCTGTTGAAAATATTCCATATTCGGCTGTTTTTATTTTTATTTTCATGTTTTATGCTTTAATTTTAGCTTTTCCTTTTCAATTTAATAGGTTCATAGGTGATAGAGGTGTAATCACCTTTTGTTCAAAGTCAGAAGAAATTTGACATATTTTGTCGCCATCACAGATGTATTGAACAGGTGAAGCTAAAATTATTAAGGATAAAACATTAAAATAAAATAAAAATAGGTATCGGAATATCAAATATTTTCAAAGGAATAGATGTTAAAAATGCGACTTTTCTAGAAATTATATAATACACAGGGTTTTTTCCATTTAAAAAACAGTTCCTCCATGGCGTAACTCTTTAGTTTTTAGTTCAAATGATTTTTTGGTACCATTTTTGAATTATCCAGAGAAAAATATGCCAATTGGCTATTTTGAATTTTTTCAAAACTACAGGAACGGGGAAGGTCTAAAATAAGCCCCTGTTCAGTCGTCGTTGGATGACCCTGTACAACTCGCAGTCTTCTTTTACTTGTGTATATTTTGGAGCAGAATTGCAAAGTGGTAGGTAATTATTTTGATGGGTTGAAAAGAAAGCCTTAGGTACAATCAATAGGAATTATTGCGGAATGACTTGAAATTGTGATATTTTCCATATAACTTTGCATTGGGGGATGGCAGAAAAGTTAGGGACCACTCCAGCTGCTGGCAAGATGTACTTTCCCATTCATTAGGACCATAGGAATATGAATTTGAGCATTTTTGCCGGTCCTCACATTTTGCATACTCAACTACTTGTAGCGCCTGCTCTATGAGGCACAAAAATAAGCACTGAGAATATTAAATTAACAATAATCATGGTTATGTAATAACCAGTTTTTGTCTTTAGAAAGTTGTCAATATTAGTCAATGCTTAAAAATGGCTTTTAGATTGCAAATTCAGTGTTCTATATGTGAAGTGGAGGGTAATCCCAGACAGATGGCCATCCTAAGGCAAAATGATAACCAAAAAGTGAATATTGCCAAGAGGCGAAGAGAAGAACTGTCACTACCGGCGGCAATGGAAGTGAATGGTAATAGTCGTCTGTGCCTAAATTGCAATAGAAGCATTTTAGAGGAAATTCATGCCTATGAAGAAGACGCCGATCCAACGATAATAAATCTACCTTTAAAATAGAGTGCACATCAATGTCTTATTTGCGAAAATCCTGAAAATATTCAACAATTATCGCTAGAAGCAAGAGTTTCAACCTTTATATAAAAAGGTATATACATACCCAGCATCTGTAGGATTTGTTCTGTTCATCTGGACGATAATGGTTTTTTACTTTATCCCGTACAAAATGGAATTAGATCCCTTAGAAGGCCTTACGAATTAAAAGGAAGAGAGCTTTCTTCTTTCATGTCCAAAATGCAAGAAAGTAGCCAAAGGGATGTTATCTTTTCACATGAAAATCATTTTAGTGAAGAAGAACTATGTGCATTATCTTCTTTAGATAGGGCGCAATTTCGGGAGGTATTCGATGTTTGCGCTAATGTAAGTATTTATGGGAGAAGAAGAATAATTACCAAAAAAGATTTATTATGTTTTTTATGTAAGCTAAGACAAGGACTTTCCGATATTTTCTGGCAACTATGTTTTCGTACAGTAGTCGATAATCTGTGTCTTTAGCTACGAACAAGGTGAGAGAGTCTTTAATTCTTAATTTTGTGCATCATAATTTAGGGCTTGCCCACATAAATCGGGAGCAGTTTATTGCACAACACGTGACAGTATTCCCTAATCAATTATTTAATGACAAACCTGAAAATCCAAAAGCAATTATTTGTATTGATGGCATCTATCTACATATTCAGCGCAGTAAAAATTTTCAAACTTTAAGACAGTCCATAAACATTGTCACCTTGTGAAACCAGTACTTATGATCGCCCCAGATGGCTATATTTTAGACGTTCATGGCCCATTCTTCGCAGATTCAAGGAACAATGATGCAGCAATTTTAAGATGTCAATACGATCGAGATCAAGAACTTAGGCAGTGACTTCAACCAGGTGATGTATTAATTGTTGACAGAGGCTATCGTGATGCCCGTCAGTTTTTGAACAATGTTGGCATATCGGTACAAATTCCACCAGCTTTACAAGGCAGAAATCAATTACCAACTGCAGAGGCTAATGCTGGCAGAATTGTTACCAAACAGAGGTGGGAAATTGAAAGCAGAAACGGACATATCCAATCAATATTTAAAATATTTCGTAACATTTTTCCAAATACGCAAACAAATAATTTGGGTAGCTTTTTCCGGATTGCTTGTGCCCTAATTAACCGTTTTCGTCCAACGCTACACATGGAGGAAACCACGGAACAACTGGCTCAAGAAATGCTCCAAAGATTAAACGAACCCAATACCCAATGTACTACAAGCTAGATTAGAAAATGAGGGACTTCTAAGACGCCATGGCAGATGGGAACCTTTACGAGAAAATCAATTTGGAGATTTTCCTGTTTTAAATATGGTTCAGTTAAGACACATTATGTATGGCACCTTCCAAATTAAATTATCACCATCCTATATACAGGATAGTATTCAAGAGCATGGTAATCTTTTTTTTTTTTGAAATTGATACCATATTTAATCAGCCAAATCATATTCCTGTGAGAATTCGGCCAAGACACAGAAATCAAGTAAAATACCAAATAGTTATTTGGTATAATCCGGAACATGTAGCTGATGACAATATTGAGCAAGAAATAGAAAATGGGCCTGCCCTATATTAGGTCACTTTTGCCAGTGCAAAACAGGTGCACGAACCATAGGTTCATGTGCACATATCGCAGCTGTCATTTGGTATTTGGGATATGCAAGGCATGAAGCCGTCATTAGATTACCCAATAGGACGGTTTTAAATGTAGTACAAGATGCTGCAGACAGACATGTCTTACTCCAATAGTTTTTTTAGATATTTCAATTTTTTGTAATCAACTGTTAATAGTAGGTAATGTATATTCTAATATTACTTTTAGTTATAATAGCTTCTGCATTTTTAACCAGTTGTCTGGTACAACTTGTCTGTACATATAAAATCCACAATTGAACTTCAATATGCATGATAACGTCGTAATGGCCAATACAGAGCAAGATCTTCAACCAATTATCAATGCATTCAACCAGGCGTACAGGAAAATCGGCCTAGAAGTCAACTTTAACAAGACGCAGATTCTGCACCAACTTGCATCAGGCATTAATCCCCAAGCCCCAAAAATAACCATAAAATTATGGATGACCATTCTCTGCAGAACGTAGAACACTACCTTGGAGCCATCTGTCAGCGAATGCTAGTGACGCTGAAATTCAACATCGCTTGAAATGTGCTAGCGCAGCACACGGGCGACTTCTAGAGAGAGTCTTCGACAATCACGACATCAGTGCTGAGACAAAACTTCGCGTCTACAATACTATTGTAATACCAACACTTACATATGGATGCAAACCATGGACCACCTACAGAAAACACATAAAAAGCCTAGAAAAATATCACCAGCGATGCCTGACAAGGATCCTACAGATTAAAAGGCAAGACCGACGAACGTACATTAGAAGTAGTAGTGTTTTGAAGGAGACCAAAACAACTAGCAACGAAGCCCTCATCATTAAGCACCAACTTCACTGGACAGGTCATGGCGTCCGCGTGCCCTAAACCCGTCTTCCACGACAGTAATTCTCGACAGTCAACTGAAGGAGGGAAAACGGAATCAAGGAGGTCAACAAAAATGCTACAAAGTTGTTCTTAATAGGAAAATATAGCAAAGTGCCGCATCGATACCGGACTTGGAGACGGCTGGGAGTCCACGATGGACCACAAAGTTCTAAAGAGCAGCGACGCAGACACGAGACCGAAAAGAGGGACCTGAAACAATACTGCTAGCTGCCAAAGGCTGGGTGTGCCAAGATTGTGGAAAAGCGTGTGGCTCGAGGTTTATTGTGCGAAAGTCAGAAAATACATTCGACACAAAAAGTATGCAGTACCTACTGCTAAGCTTATTTTCATACAAATCTGAGACTGGTTTATAAAAAAAAAGAATTGATTATTACGCAATAAAATCTACACTTAAAGTCCATGATTTAATTCAACAATGTATCTTTGCAAATATTTCTTATAGGAACTACTTTTTGTATTTTCTTTTGGTATCATGTACTATGTAAGCCAAAGCAAGAGAAAGAAGATTTAAAAAATACATTTTGATGTGATGGTATTTCAAAAGTGTCTATATGTTCCTTGTTGACCTGATATAAATGTCACCAAGCCTCACGAATATTTAGGAGAAATATTCTGGGCAATGTCTAAATAATATTTTATATTAAAACAGCAAAATTTAAAAATCTCTCACCTTGAGCATTTCACTGTTAGTAATGTAAGGAGTAACATGTTCTCGTCTATTTATGCTCAATATATATCGTACACAATTGTTCTGAATCTTTTGTAATCTATATTTGTGATGTCATGTTCTGTTAGAAAGGATCCATAAACACAATCTGCATAATAGTAGTGTGCCAAGACTAGCGACTCTAATAACATGATTTTGGTATTAGTAGGAAGAAGATGTTTAAATTCATAAAACTTCTTTAAAATAAAACATGTGTTGTGACAAAATGCACTAACATGCCCTGTAAAAGGTAAAGCAATGCCTCAACACCTGCAAGCAGCTCAAATCTCTCGCATCTATATTCGTTCCAAACAAAATAGCCTTATAGATTAGTAATTCCCTTGATGGATCCCAAAAATTCCCTACTTTATATATTTTAGAGTTAAAATTCCCTGCTTTCAATGTGGCCAATAGGCCTTTTCGGAAACACTGATCCGATTAACCGGATCACCAGCTGATGTACTTTGTCTTTTTTCAAACGTGTTCCTGAAAGAAAGATAAAAAAACAAACAGTTGGTGATCGGGTTAGTCGGATCAGTGTTTCCGAAAAAGCCTTACGAGTACATCTAAGTAAATGCCGAATGACTTTACCTATACCAAAACCAAAAATATCTTCTTTCTATTGTGTATGTAATAAAACAAAAATTGAGTCGTTTGGATGATTAAACGGATTACAAACAAATTGCAAAAATTAAGCATGAGCACTAAAATAAATACAACCGGGAACCCCCGAAACCAAACCTTGCTGCGTTCGGCTATGTCACTCCGCGCGCTCCGCGTAACTCCGTACCCACTCCAGGCGTTCGAGTATTGCTTTTCGGCGTAGGTAGACTGACATCGCTTACTCCAGACCAAATCCGCGCTGAACACAACTTCTATCTTCATCGATGCCAAACTATTTCTCAAAAATTCCCTCATTTCGACTATTTTATTTAAAAAAAATCCGTTTTCCCTTTTGGGTGCCAAAATTCCCTAAAAAGGGAAAATTCCCTGCAGTTGGGAACACTGCTAATGCATTCTTCTGTGCCCACTCAGTAACCCTAATACCCTAATAGGATCCTAATTAATTTTTCCCAAAACTAAGAAGTCAAAGTTATTCCTGAAAAAATGACGGATATTCGTGAATGTATATATAGCCATCAGAAAACTCATAATCGACGACAATAAGAATAGTAGATAATCATACTTGGTATCGAGTGATTACCTATAATGATAATGACAGCCTCTATATTATAATTATTAAAAATAAAATTAATAATAACTATCGTAAAAATAGTAATATTCATCGAAAATGCGTTCCATGGTGTAATAATGCATATTGGACATTCACACATTGAACACCCTGTATCTCAAAAACTAGTCATAGGATTGAGTTGTGCCCAGGGTAGTTATTGATCAGAAAGGTCAGATCTATAACCTACTAAAATTTGGTAAAATTTGACCGCGGTCAAAAATCCCATAAGAAGTGTGCGAGGTCCTTGACAGCAAATTTCCATTTAAACCCAATTTTAAATCAAGCTTAAATCAAATTGTTTCATTCAAATTCAATTTCGAATCAAATCGTAGAGTCTTCAAAATAGCTCAACAATTGGAAACATCATATTAACGATTAGTTTAATTAACCAAGGCTTCAAGGTTTGGTGATTTCAAGAACTATTTGTGAAGATAAAGATGTATTTTTTTGGTGTGTCTTGAGACATGGCTCAGTGAGAAATTATATGCTAATAATTAATGATATGTAAATACAATTAAAACTATAATAATTATCAAGTAGGTATACATACATTTCACAACTTTAAATGAAAACATCTATTTTTTTCACGAGGAATAATTATGCCCCAATATCAAATGTCTCAAAATTATTTCATAAATGAACTAATTTGGAATTTCCAGTAGTAATATAACTAGTGCATAAAATATTTCCGGAAATTTTTGAAAATTTTGTCTGAAGCCAATTTTTTAACAAAATCATGAGTGCATAGCGCCTGAAAAAATCCCGAACCCGAAGGGTGAGGGTTTTTTTCTTTGGCGCTATGCACGAATGGTTTTGTTTAAAAAAATTGGCTAAAGACGAAATTTTTTAAAATTTCCCTTAGGAAATATTGTATGCACGTGTTATATTTTGATAGGAAATTTCCCGAGTTTGAAACTTATTTACTACATTGTGTTGAATTCTTTTATTGATGCTGATTGCTATTGATCTTTTCCATATAAACTGCTTTTGTGAAAAATATACACTTTGACAGATTTCTGACATCAATGCGTTTTAAATGGAAAAACGGGCATCAATGTCAAAAATGACAATTCTGGAAATTTTCCCCGGGATATTTCCAAAAATTTCCACTTATTAATTTTGACAATTTGTATGCAAAATTTCCAGTGTAATTTGCACAAGGGAAATTTCCGAAAATATTTAAAAAAAAAATACTCACAAGGCAACTCTGGTAAATGCTTTTGAGAACTAAACCAATCTTTTAGCAACTGTATTATATTTGCTCGTATCCTCCTCACTTTGGCCTAACTTTTCCAACACCAATTTTCTCACTTGTAGCCTATTTGTATGAAGTAAATTTTTCGTATCCATTTCAAACAACAAACAATATTCTCTGCAATAATCACCTTTACCTTATAGCGAGATAACCTGAGAGAAAAATTGTGTTTTTCAGCAGCAAACGTGACAAAGTGCTGTAAAATAATAGGCTACTTGGCTCAGTGAAAAATGCCAGATGATGAGAAAAATTACCTATGTGCTAATTAATAATAATGATAATCGTATCTATAATTATAAATAAAGTAAATACACATAAATTTTAACAACTTTTTTAAAAGAAAAAAACCCTATTTTTCCACGAGGAATAATAATTATTAGCAAAAAAGTTCGTTTTAATGACTCGTTGGATGCACAAATTGATTTAGTTTGTTTTCAAGCATAAGGCTTAATGGGGTATTAATTATTGGAAATTTGCACAACCCAAAAAAAAAAAATTATTTAAAAATAAAAAAAATCGGAATTTCCGAAAATATTTAAAAAAAAAAATACTCACAAGGCAACTCTGGTAAATGCTTTTGATAATTAAACCAATTTTTTAGCAACTGTATATCTTTCCTTATATCTTCCTCACTTTGGCCTAATTTTTCCAAAACCAATTTTCTCACTTCTGTCCTATTCGTATGCAGTAAATTTTTCGTATCCATCATCAACACTTTTATTCGTGAGCAACAAACAATATTCTCTGCAAAGATTACCTTTACCTTAGCGAGACAACCTGAGAGAAAAATCGAGTTCATCAGCAGAAAACGTGACAAATCCGTTCCAAAGTGTTGTAAAGTAATAGGCTAGACATTGATTTCAATTTTTTTTTTTGTATAATGAGACAGTTATTCCAAATAACAGATAAAGTATTGAAAGATGCATACATTTTGAGTTGAGGTAAAAATAATAGAAAGTAATATTATTTATAATTATGTTGATTAATATGAATCCAAGCCTGTAAACCTTGGTAGTCGGTACCTAGCTAATACGATTTCCTTGACCGGCAAACTTATTATTGTGGTCAAACGTTTATGTGAATAAACTATTATATTAAATATTAAATTATTTTTTGTAAGCAATTAGAGCGCAAGTAAATGAACTTTCAGCATTTAATCAATTTAGCAATTTGCTGCAGTTTTGATATCAAATAATTGTCGTCTCTGATTCTGGTTGAAAATAAAAATCCTAATGGTCACGTTTGGGCCAATGACGTAGTTTAAACATGACGACTGGAAAATTTTGAAAAGGACCCCAAAAATTTACTAAGGCATTTCAAAACTGAAAGCATCTTATTTATGTTCGAAACATTCCGAAACCAAAATCTTCGAAATTTTGCGAATTGGCTCAGAAGTTTGTGAGAGAAGCATGAAAAGGGAGAAACGTTTGAAAAATAACAGAAATGAAGAGTACAAAACGATATTCATGAAATAGGTATAAAGAAGGAAATAAGTGAGATTATTTAGTATTTTTAAAGTATACTTGAAAGCAAGACACTCGAAGGGGATTATTGGAATGGCCTCAAAGATGCTAACAGCTGAAATACTGTCACTAACGCGTACTCAGATAAGACGGATGGTAGGACTACTAACAGGACACTGCCATCATAAGCGCACATGCAGAAAATGAGAGTCTACAATGGCCCAACTACATGTAAAATGTGTTGTGAAGAGGAAGAAACGGAATTTTCTCTTGACTGTCTTTGTCTTACCACAACCATACGTACTGTATATTGTGATTAAGAGTTCTAGCACAGCCCAGCGCTAAAATTTGCATCATGGATAAATTTTCATGTTGTGGAAAACAACAATCGAACTGATTATGCATTGGGTGTTCAAAAATATTTCATCAAAGCTGTTTTGATAGAGACTGGAAAAAAGGTATAAGATTGGGAAAACACAGAATGTATTGCTCTGCTGAGTGCCAAAACCCTGAAGCTGATACTTTAGAAAGAGCAACTGCAGAAAGAGGTTGATGAACTTACCAAGGAGATCCAGGAAAAGAATAAATATATTAGCAGACTCCGGAGAAATTCACAGGTTTTTGAAGATGATTTGTTGAACTATGGAAATGAACATTGTGATGAAATTAGTAACTATAAAAAAGACATTTCAAGATTGAATACTGAGATTATTCAGGTGTCAGACAGAAATTCCTGCATCCAAAACGATCTACAACGGACGAGGGATAGCCTAGAAGAGTTAAAGGTACTGAACCGCAACCTGAAAATTTCCATCGAGGTCTTGGAAAAGGAAAATGTTATACTTTCCAAGGAAACTAAGCGTCTGCGTCGTGAGTCTTTTGAAAAAGAACAATGCGATGAAATTAAGAACTACAGGGAGGATATATCAAAACTGAATGCTAAGATTGTTCAGGTAACAGAGAGTAATTCCCACATTCAAAATGATTTACAGCGGACGAGGAAAGACCTGCAAGAGTTGAATATACTGAACAACAACTTAAAAGTTTCCATCGAGGTCCTGGAAAAGTAGAATGATATTTTGGCTAATGAAAACTAAGCGTCTGCGTCGTGAGGTTTTTGAATTGAAAAACTCTCCACATCCTATAGACCATATTAAATCGACTCCTCCTAGGAATAACATACTTATAGTAGGTGATAATTTGGCAAATGGACTTTCTTGATGAGTCGGTGAGAGCTATTCTCAATTATACGAGTAATTTCGATAAGAAGGATTATGTGATTGTTATGGCTGGTGTGACAAATTTATTGAAGGGACGTCCAGTTAGAGAAGAAACTATACAGAATCTTAAATCAGTGGGTGAATATACTAATCTTGTGGTTTGCTCCGTCCCACTTTGAAACAATAATAGATTGTTTAATAATTTCATTAATGAACATAATAAAATTATGTTTGACAGGTTATGCAGTGAAAGCAAGTTCAGATTTTATTATCATTTGAACGCCTTTAGAGGAAGTAAGGACTTTTATTTTGATAATAACTTGTACATTAAACATAGAGGTAAGGTGAAAGTAGCACGGGCACTTAGTGGTAGGGTCTCAGGTTTTATTAATGGAAGTATGCCTGTGAGGGATGTTATAGGACTGGATACAGATAGTCGTGTTTCTACAAAGATTATGCACACTCTGTCTGATGAAAAATTAGACACCCTTGATATTGAGGGACCTTTTTTAGTAGCAGCTCCCGTCATAATCACTTTACCATAGCATTGTTAAATATTCAGTCCGTGCGTTCAAAGGTTGATGAATTGGAGTTGTTTTTGGAATCAGTCAATTTTCCTATGTAATGTAAATGTAATGTAAATTTATTCAAATTCCTTCAAAGTCTACAATTTTGTTTCCTAACCTTAATCTAACCTTAATCAAATCTCAAGAATTATAATTTCAACATTGTTATAAATTACAGGAATCCGAATAAATAGGTGAGTGCTACTAAGGCAGTTTACCTACCAGCGCGCAGCACATTTACCATATATTCATAATTTAAAACATTTATTTGTTTAAAACATTTATTTCAATTCAATTTTCCTAAGTGTATTGATTTTGGTTGAGCACTGGTTACTGTTTGATGAGCCCATTGACGTGTCTGGTTATGTGTTGATGTCTAAATTTTCACGCAAGCAATTTGCACATGGTGGTACACTAAACATGATGGAGAGAGAGTTTTTGTCTAGGTTTATGTCCATTTCTGTTGATAGGTTTGATCATTTGTTGGTTGAAAAAGATTTCGAGTTTTCTATAGTGTTCTGCAAGAAACTCATTATGTATGTTTTCGGTTTTTATAGGTCTCCATCTGGTAATTTCGAGTTGTTTTTGGAAAGGTTGGAGATTTTGTTGAGCGACATTTCGGTTAATTCCTTGTTGATTTTGACTGGCGATCTCAATGTGAATTTCTTGGACGTGTAATAGATCCAATCAGTTACTGTGTAATTTGTTGAACTTGGAGATGCACGTGGATCGGCCAACCCGCTTTTCCGCATTCTTTGCCTCAATACTGGACTATTTCTGCACCAGTTTCAATCAAATTGAATTTCAGTGTGTAACGATCAGTGCCGGTTTGTCTGACCACGAGGCAGTAATGGGACTTGTGCCATTTGGCGTTAAGGCTGATCAGGGTAGGTTTAGACGCGGTAGACTTTATTCTCAGGCAAACTTTTCTAAATTTTCTTCGGTTTGCCACCAATCGGAAAGGAATGACGTTCTGGCTACTGTCAGCCCATTGCAGCAGTTTCATCAAATGTTGGTGAGTATTTTGAAATTGTCAGTATACGGAAGCGAAAGAGAAAACCCTGGTTTACAAAGGGCCTGCGAACTTCTGGAAAAAATATGCGTTCCCTTCATTACATCAGAAAATTCTATATGAACAATCCAGTATTTTTGATCTATTTTGATAGGTACCGAAGGGTTTACAGAAGATCGATCAGGCTTGCCAAGTGGACTTACTTTCAGAATAGGATAAATAAGTCTTCTAATAGATCAAGGGAGACTTGGAGAATTGTAGATGACCTGAGAGGTAGGAATAATGTTTCGGTCACTTCAAGCAATCTGAATCCTGATGACCTAAATTCCTTTTACTGCAATATCGCCACAGAACTCTCAGCCATAATTTCAACAGGAAATGATCCCAGAAGCTATCTGAAACATGTAGCAGTGGCTGAATCTTTCTTTCTAGCTCCAACTAATGCAAGAAGAGCTTATATGTATACTCGGTAATATCAGGAATAAGGGTGCGTCGGGTTGGGATGGGCTCTCCTTGAGGATTTTTTTGGCTTACCCATGGTTGCTTTGCAGGTTCTTGCTGAGGCAATTAACATTTCTTTTGTGTCGGGGGTTTTCCAATCTTGCCTGAAGAGAGCAGTGATTATCCCTCTATATAAGGGTGGAGAGCACGACTCTCCTTCTAATTTTAGGCCTATAGCATAACTGCCTACTCTGGCTAAGGTTGTGGAGCGGCTTGTTAAGGTTAGGATGTTATCGTTCTTGAACAACCGTGGCCTTTTAAGTTCTCAGCAGTTTGGCTTTCGTGAATCCATGAGTACGGGTGATGCCATCTTTGACTCTCTTGAACACCTTTACAATAGTCTGAACTGTGGTGAAGTCGCTGCAGCGGTGTTCTATGATTTGTCAAAGGCTTTTGACTGTGTGTGTCACGGAGTGCTACTGTGGAAACTGGAGCTGTATGGTTTCAGGGGAACTGCCCTAGAGTGGTTTCGTTCTTACCTGTCGGATCGCGTTCAAACTGTCAAGTTTAATGGTGGTACCTCTAAGGAGCTAAATATTAGCGTGGGCGTCCCACAGGGCTCGGTACTTGGTCCCCTGCTTTTCCTCATTTACGTAAATGATCTACCACATTTCCAGATAACGGGTAGATTCACAATCTCTGCAGACGATACCACTATCCTCTGGCATGATTCTGATGTTGGTAGAATGGAGGCCAATATGAGGACGGATCTGCTTAAAATAAAGTGCTGGTGCAACGCCAATTCTCTGACATTCAATATATCTAAGACCAAAATCCTCAAGTTTAAATGTGCTACTGAGGATATCTACTTGGAAAATGAACCCATCACTACGCCAACGTTTAATAAATTCCGAGGTTTGTCAATAGACAGGTCCCTTAAGTTTAAAGACCACATTGCAAAAGTATTCAACAAAATTTCGTCTGGTTGCTATGCCCTCAGAGTTATTGCTAATAACCTAAATTGCTCCATTGCCAAATATGCGTATTTCGCGATAATTGAGTCCCATACGGAATCTGCTTCTGGGGTTCTTGATCTGA